TCTGTGTGTTATTGATTATTAAACCTAGCCATTTACAGGCAACAAATGGAGTTCCTAAGAATGTTTTTTCTACATTGTAATCTGATTGATGTAAATAAAATTTCATTTAAATCATGGGCTGTCTGATTAAATATGTGTATGAAATGGCATTAACTGGACTCGCTAAAACGTTCATGAAATGTTTTGTCCGTTTTATGTAAATTGTTTTAGGCGGCTGACCGCACAAGTGGCTAGTTTGTTAAAATTTTAGATCAGAAAATCTCGAAATGAAAATCAATTTAAATACTTTTTTTTTTTTTTAAACTGCTTTGCCAGTCAGGGAACTTAATGCTTCGTTTTTATTCTTAGAAATCCCGCAAGAGACGTATTATCGAGATTTTAAAATAGCAGTATTATACGTATTTTTTACCTGAGAGATGAGTAGGGAAACATTTTCTTTCAACTTCCTGGAAGGTTATATGTATGTACCGTGCCTATATTCCTGTTGTTTTTTGATATTTGCTGTTCTCTCTCTACCGTTATAAGTAATTTATTAGCAGTTCATGAAATGGAGTGAGGTTGCAGTTGTCTTTAATCTTTTTCTTCTCGTCGAACAAATCGTTTTAATTTTCCTTCTGCCCAATGTCATGCAATTTCATCTTCTCTTTTAAAGGCCACTTCCTCTTTTAGAATTAATGCAGTGTACGCGTGTGCAATTCTTGTTTTGCATTGAGATAGCCCCATTCTTGCAGCCGATGTCTGCTTGTTCCTCACGTGAGAAAGTCAAGGTCGTCTTGTTTACGGCGGTGAAGGGAATTTCCCTATTAAACCTTTTATGTATTAATTTAAGGATGCTTTGTTCGAATTTTATCAGTCAGAGTTAGATCTGAAATAGAAAAAGGCTTCTCTTTGTTAAAGCTTTCTTTAAAGTGCCACAGAAATTTTATTTGTAAGGCTTGAGTATAATTTTCTATTTGTGTCTGAAATTTTCTCTGTTGTTCGAATTTCTAGCAAAATGAACAGTAGAGAAATTATAAGGGAAATGAACCAAAATAGTATTCGAAATTTTTTATATTTAAAGGCAGTCATGTTTGTAAATGGCTGTTTTGATAAAATTAGCGATGAGGAAAAATATATAACTAGAAACATATAAATAGGTACTATCCCCGACATTTTAATTAGGAAAAGACCAAAAGTTTGTTTATGAACTGTTCATAACGTATTTGGAAATTATTTAATTGATGTACCTCTTAATACTTGGAGGGCATCCTACCTTAGAAGAGAATGTGCCAGTGTAAAATTACAAATTAAATAAAAGGATAACGTTAGTTGGTGTTTCAGGAATTCCCCCCCCCCAAGGGGACAAGGATCCTTACGTGTTATCGCAGCCTCCTTTGTAGAAGTCGCCAAATTTTCAGAATGTGCCAAACTCTGGCAACCATGCTCATAACAATCTGTCAGTCGAGCAACGTCGCCATTTTCGTATGCATTGGTTTTGTTGTAACCAACGGTTCATGATATTTTTTTGCCTTGATTTTAAAGTCTGCATTTGTGGAATTTCCCAGTAATGTAAGAAACCGGGGTAAAATTTCTGCAAGAATACAAAATCTCTAAGGGAACAACGAAGAGATGCGTTTGGTAAACAGCCGGTGTTGACGAGGTTTCCGCGATGCCGAGTCTGCAATTCTCTTATGTTTTTTTTAAACAAATGCAGATCGCTGTGTACTTGGGAAAGAAATGCAAAAAGATTTTGACAGCTATGTTTGAAGCTATGAAGAGACAGCTATGTTTTATTTTTTAATTGTATGGCTTAAACCTTATTTAGTAATTAAATTTATTTAATTTAATAAACTTATATACCATTATCTTATATTAAATTATTTAATTAATAATTGTAATAAAGTTTATTTATTTCATTTAGTTTAATAATTAAATTATTAATTTGTATTTTACTTTGGTAAAGTAAATTTTTTTTTATATGCTAAAATATGTTTACTTTGTTGATAATGTTCCCCGATTGACGTTAAATATCGATAGTTTGGAAATCGTTTTATTTTTAAAAAATATCATAATAACCATATCACAGCAATTATATAATCTCCGTGTTTTTTCATATACAAATGAGCAGGAATTTAGAAATTTGATAACAGTATCCGAATGATAACATTAACCGCGATCGCGACGAGTACTAGCTGCTTTTCCCTAGAAAAATCTTCCTCGAAGGCATCCTTACCTATAGGCCTTTCCGCGTTTTACCATTATCAAACCTACCTAGGGACAGGGTTAGGAAACTTCTTTTTTATGCCGTCATTGCTTTTTTTAAGCTTGAAGTATCAATGAAATTCCCATCACGCGCTGGAATTTTTGTCGTTTTCCAGATCTATTGAGGTAGTTCAGATAAAATTTTCTCCTACTTTTTGGAAAAATTCCTTTGTAATTTTAAATTTTGATAATGTATATTTTATTTATTTATTTTCGTAGTGGATAAGCCTACAAGAGTTGAAAGATTCCCTGGCGACTTTCTCTTTTGATTCGATCTGAAAGAATGTTATCGTCGGCTATATTTATTTATTTTAATGTAAGCACGTTAATGTAAATACAAACGATATTAATTTATTTCAGTGTATTATATTAAAAAAATATTCTTTAAAATGTATTGGAATGCTGGATACTAGATTCTCTCCTTTCCTGTGAGAATATGTGCTATAAATAAAACTTTTTTTTTTTTTTTTTTTTTTTTTTGGCAATCTACATTATGTAATGTTTATTAAAACAACTGCCTTTGTGGAGCTTTGGGTTCAAAGGTAGATAGTTTAATAGCAGAAAATTTGATGAATCCTTCGGAGTGCATCTTACAGACAATGTTGTGAATAGTACAGAGGCTGTTCGTACACTTTTTGGACGATTTCCATTGTATTTACAGAAATATTTTGCTTACAATTTTTGTGTTTTAAATGCTCTATTTGACAACCCTTATACTTCACTAACTTTCTACATCATAATTTCCAAGACAATAAAGCCTTCTAGTACCGGAAGCGTATTCCATTCCCTCTTGAATAACTTCCCAACGTCTAAGAAAGGTTGTAGGTCGACGTTTGGACAGTCCACATTTTGAAAGTCCCAAAGCGCAAAAATCAATGAGTGACACGTCATGAGATTTAGTAGGAATGTGGGTAAAGGGTATGGCTTTGCTGCCTGTTTCGTGTTCTATTTTTTCCAAAAAATTAACAGTGGATTTTCACGTGTGGCTGCTTGCTTTTTCTTGGCAGTTCAACTGATTGATGGCCCTGAAGGTAAAGGGAAGGTATTTTATATTTGAAAATTGGGTATAAAATATATGTGGAGCTGATCTTAATATTTTTCTCCACTATCTTTATTTTGCCGCTATATGACAATCATAAATCCCTTTGAAAAAACTTTTTTAGATTCCTTGAACCATGTTTTAAAATTTTACGCTCATCTTTGATGGCAATAAATGGATCTCTTTTAGTGATGTCATTGAGATACACCCAAGATTCATCTAATGTGACAGCATTTTCCAATTTCTGTCTGTATAAATGTTTCTCATAAAAAATTTTGCAGTGCGTTCTGCGTTCGGGAATATTTCGTGGAGAAACAGGAATGCACATTATGTTCTTTCGCCTTTTTAAGAATCAAATCAGCATTAATCACGTTGTTTACAGTTAGATGACACTGAACATTTTAATGATTTTTCAACTTTCCTTTGACTTGGCGGATTTTCTTTTAACATGGAATGTCTTGCCTTTGCAACATTCGAAACATTCCATTTTTTCCTTGGATATATGTATTTGGAACAATTTTTTCACTTGAAGCCAAACTTTGGCGTTTCTTTTTCTTTTTAGTCCAAAGGGATTTGAATCCCGAAGGACTATTAGTTTCGTTTTGGCATTTTGCGTCGGACTCATAAATGTCGGTTCACTTTTCAAACTGTTGCCACAAATGTTAGAGTCCTGCATTATATTTGAAGAAATTAAATAATGAAAAATCTGCATAAATGTATGTATATTTCTCGTATTGTGATAAAACAACGGTACATAGAGTCATCGAATTTTGAATAACGTAATCCTCCAACGAATATGAGCATGTGGAAGACCAAATTTGAAATTTGTTTTATGATCGATTTCCTATTTTTTAAAACTTTGACGAATTTTTGATTAACAAACTCAAGGATTTCAAAGCGAGCAATGGCAACGTTGTGCAGAAAAAACATTTTTATCTCCAGCGCGTGAGTCTCTGTATCGGAAATTCTAAAGATATGCTCGTTTTAAAACTATTTTTGCGATATTGCTGTTGCACTGGATCTTATGGTTTAAGTGCGAGGAACATGATATTTAATAAAGAAAGGTAACACACAAAATGTTAAAAAACGCCCCTTTAGACGTAATTTAAAATCTGAAATTTTTTTTTTTTTTTTTTGACAGTATTACCTGTCGTAGCTTTAGGTATCGAAAAACCATAGCTTTCACAGCGTTAATACCAAAGTAAAAATCATCTAAAAAATATGCGAACACCCTGTGTAGATAGTTATTCTTTATTAGCGCTGCATTAAGTAGCTGGGTATATTTAGTGGCCACCCAAGGGCGGTGTGCTTGATGAGGCTCCGTATATTTCAAAAATTAATTTAAATAAGCTGTTTTCCTGTTTTTGCTGTATTAAAGGATTTCAAAGACATATGCGACCAGGCGCTGAAATATCTTCGTACACGATCAGCTTGTTGAACAACTCGATTTAAATAAACCAGTCAGGAAATGTGAGTGATCTAATCTTCTGTAGTATGCGTAAATTATATTTAGAAGCCGTGCATTAATTAAGGTAATTAATAAAATGCAAAAGAATCATTTAAGGCCTTGTAATAAATTAATTCTTTTATAATAATTAATAACATTATTTTAATATTAATGATCATTCTCAGTTAGTTCAGTATGCATCGAAACGAAATATAAGTTAAGTCTTGTAGACACAGTTGTGTAAAATTTTTTTCGTCTTTGCTTATCTTTTAGTGCTTATAGCGTTTTCTTTTTTCATTTCCTGCCGAGCTTCCTTAGATGGAACAACCTATTTCCACTTCCTCTTTTGTATATTCACTGGTGAGTCAGTCAACTTATTTTTAATTTATATCTGTTTTTTTAAAGAATTATGGAAATTATTTTTTAGTTTGTTTTGTAAAAAAAGTAAGTGGTATTGATTACTAGTATTTAACTGCGTTACTGATTGCTAAATTAAAGATTTTCTGGTATGGTGTAATTGTTCTTTTGGCCCATTGTAAATTTTCTGCAATAGATTTTTTAATACATTTTAAATGGTTTACATTGAAATTGAATAGTTGGATTCATCCATGTATTTAATATCTAGAAAATTTATTATAACCTAAATGATATTAATGATTTTAAGGAGGTTGTAATTTTCTAAGAATTCTCTGTGTAAAACTTTTTTATTGTAAATATTTTATTAAAGACTAATGCATTATGTTGATGCTGCTGGGGGGGGGGTTCCATTGTTACTTTATAACAACTTTTTTTTCTTGATCTATATGTTAATATTATAGATTTATTATATACATATATGTTTGTGTGTGTGTGCATATAGATTGAAAAGATAACAGTAAATTAATATATTAATAAAACAGTTTTTTTTTTCTACATTCATACACACACATATTTTTTGGCTTGAGTAAAAATTTTTATCTCTGATCAAAGAATATTTTACTAATTTATCATACTGCTTGACACAATATTCACAGTGTTAACAAAATTCCTTACCCAGCCTTTATTTTTGTCATCATTAGTCACAGACATATACCTCAAATTACAAAAATGTTTTAAATGATGCAAAGATTTATGTTTTGGCATTCATAAATTTAAAAATATCAATTTTGTAAAAGAAGAGAAAAGTAAAGAAAATCTTTACGATATCCCCATACTTATATTTAGGAAAATTTTGCACTTGTAAACAACAACAAAAAATAAATAAATAAAACGCAAAGTTTGACTTTTGTACAATAACAGTTGTCTGAGTTATTTAATTTCAGGATTTGCCATATTTGACACCATTTTTAATTTGCACTGGAGGGCATTTAATAAATAAATTTCAGTAATTCAAACCTGATTTTTCCCCCTTAAATGCCATTCAGTCATATCTTTTGTGATTTTATTAGTCTGTATAGCCAGCCGAAAGAATATTTTTTACAAATAATTTATAAATTTACAAAATCTAAAAATACATTATTAATATTCTTATAAAGTTTTATTCATTTATTTTCATAATCTAGTAATTATAAAAACTTTCATTAAAGTACACATATTTTTCTGTTTCTTTAAATTTAGATCAATCTTTTGAATATCATTCTGATGTTGCTATTTGGAAAAGCATAGCTGTTTTTCTTTTATTCTTGAATACACGATCTATAGTTTTTAAATAATCAATAAAGTCATTTCAATAAAATTTCTCGAAACTATCAATTAATAATGTAACTCTTTTATTTATAGTTTTTTTTTTTTTTTTTTTTATAGAGAAACGTGAAGTTTTCATTAAAGGGTTAATTGTAAAATTTATTAATTTTTTTTAAAATTATCATCATATTTTGTTCAGTTTTCAATCTGTAATATTATATTTTCAGAAGTGGAGGCAAAGATGGTTTGTTCTTCGCCACTCTGGCTTACTTCCAGGGCAGTTTGTTTTAGAATACTTTACAGACAATATGTGCAAAAAATTAAAAGGAAGAATTGATCTAGATCAGTGTGAACAGGTAATCATGAAGTTTTAGTTTTTTCTCGCATATGTGTTCTTGTAATTGCTAAATCATTATGCTTTTACTTCCTTGTACGAAGTGAAGGATGTATTACAATCGCAAAAAAAATTCAGGTATCATATTTCAACAGAAATATCCATTTTAGCTATTTTTTTGCATGACATCTGTATGTACGGATAGAATAAAGGACTCTTTTCTTCCAAAATGGAAAAGGGGTTGTAAATCGGATTTAAAATGGTTTTTTAGGGCATTTGTACATATGTACGTATTTATCTTGCATATTTCAAAAACAATTAGCTGTAGAATGCTGAAATTTTGTACTGGGATTGCTAACATCTAGTTGCATTTTTATTGCAATGGGAAATGCCAAAAGTTTGTAATATATATGTTAAGCTTTACTTTCACAGCCATTGGTCGTAGTCATATATTAAATAATGCAAATATTCATGTTTTGGCAATGTCAAATTAAAAAAAAATAATTTTGGACAAATAATGAAGTCAAACTTTTAATATTGTGTCCTGGTTCTTATATTTAAATTTGAAAAGTTTTATGCTCGTTATGAAAAAATAAAATTATAAAAAGATTAACTAAATGATTTTAAACATTTGAAAAATGTCTGGAAAATCTGGAATAGCTCTTTTATCATGTATTTTCACATTTTTGTTTGGCAACTTGAATAGTTGTGTATATATATCATGTAACTTTAATCTTTTAATTAATTATTACTTTTTAATGATTTATATTCACAGAAACCATGTTAACCTTGAAAGTTTCTCATAAAAATAGTTGAAATTTCGCACACAGAGTTTGTACATTATTATGTGTGATGTAGAATAGGCTTTAAAAATTAATAATAAATTTTTAATCTCTTTTATAGTGATGATTATATTTAAGTACAATCCAATAAAAATCACATAAATTCAGAAATATAACAAACATTTTGAAAGAAGCCTTCAAATGAGTTCTGTTATCTTTATCTGAAACCCTTATTTTGCAACTTAAATAGTACCATAATTTTGGGTCGATAAGCTGCACATGTGGTAATAATTGTCTAAAAAAATTAAAGTTTCAGATGAGTTGCACCACTATATACACCAGATCAAAGTCTTCCTAAACATAGCACTTAATATTCATTTATTCAGAAGATTAGCTCCTGAGTGAAACTTCTCTCATCCTTCCAGGATTTGTGAAGAAATGGAGTCATCTTTGCATATGTTTTTCCTGCTGCTTTTGTAGTTGTTGGTTATGCATTCTGTTGATAGTGAGATGAGATCCAGGGCTGTAAAGTTTTGTAAGCCTGAGACATCAATGTTATGACATTTTGCTTTGGATGTCCACTAAATGGGATTACATTGAAGAATCCAGGACAATAAGTCACAATGTTGGGAAAAAACTACCCTTCCAGCACCACTGCATCTTCATACCTCCATCCTTTTTCATTGGTGTAAATGATGACTTTTTTAGGAAAGTTTCCTCCCAAAATTATTTTTCCTTGAAACTTTTCAAAGAAAATGAACTCCGTAATGGCGCTATTCAAACACAAGTAAAAGAAGTCTTTTCATTTCCAGTTGTTAACGCAGTATTGGTTTTTTCACCTGTTGAATGAACAATTCTGCTTGGAGTTCATCCATATTAATTATTTGCCCTCTATTCAAATTCTGTAATTTTAATTTTTTTAGATGTGTATTTTATTTCCAAGCCAGTCCATGAGAAGTTTCCATCCAACTGTTGTTTTGGTTCTGATGGATAATTTCTTTCGTTTCATGGACCTTGAACACCTGCTTATGTTCTCCAGCAAAGTATTCAATGCCCATTTGTTGAGTAATTTCTTTAGCTTGAAGGTGAATCTAACTGTTGATACAAATTCCTTTTCTCCCTGCTCTTTTGTCCATTTCTCTAAATTGTCTTCCAAAACGGGTTAGGCTGTGATACTAGTCCAACAAGATCTTTTGGTCTTAGACATTCTCATTCTTCTTGTTCAGACTTTCACTGCCAAATACATCACTTTTCAACTTGAAGTTCTCCAGCCACAGAACATTTTCCAGTTTCTATCGCCTTTTTTCACTAAGCTTAAAAGCAGTTGTATAAATTTTTTCAAGTAGGAGCCATAATAATAGTAGTAATTTTTTTTAATTCAACAAGCGTAAACAATAAAGCAGGCAATAAGCAAATCACAAAACAGTGAAGCACAAATAAGAATGAACACTGAACTTGGCGAAATAAAAGTTTCTCTAGCCATTAAAAAGAACGTGGTTATCGGAAATTGCAGATGAAACCAAAGTGTTCAGCAGAAAGTAGTATACATTAAAATGCATTTGCACATAGCCTGCCCTATCATAGTTAGGCGAGTTTCATGCGAGTTCAGCTTAGCATAGCTTGAGTGCAATGTCTGGCTAAAATGCTGAGTGAATTCTAGAGTAACCATTTTGCTTATTTTACAGTCTAATCTAGCGAATTTCTAAAGATAAAAGGTAAGAAAATTCCTTCAGATACACCACAGACCTAAATTTTCAGCTTTTAAACCTGCAGTTTATCTATCCAAAATTATGGTACATTCTGAGTGAAATGAGCAGTTAATTATTTTTTCTAGCATATTTTCATACGAAAAACTTTTATTCGTTTTTATTTTTTGAAGTTAACATCACTCTTTTCTGACAGGTTGATGCTGGCTTAACTTTTGAAAGCAAGAAGACTAGTTATCAGTACATGTTTGATATTAGAACACGTAAAAGGACATATTACCTTGTAGCAGAAACAGAAGCAGAAATGAATAAATGGGTTGAATGTATTTGTTCTGTATGTGGACTAAAAATTCATATTGAAGAAGGTATGTGTTTGTAACATTAATTAATTTATTAATTAATTAAGTATATTATTTAACATATTGAATTTGCTGTTTAGTTCTACCATATAAAAAATTAAATGTAGAACTTAAAACATTGATCTAGTACAAAAAAGATTATTTAAAAATATGAAACCGTAATTTATGAAAACTTCATTGACAAGTTCCATGAAAGTGAAGACATTGAGCAAATTACATGGTTTAGCAAAATCTCCTTGGAGAACTTATGAAACTACCTTGGAAAAGTAGTTACACATAGGCAACGAATTGTCCCATTTTCTCTTTATTGATAAGCTGAGGTTTAGTAGTTGAGGCTAGAGATGTAAGTGTCTTCAAGACTGCATTGCCAAAGGAGTATAGAACTAATTCTTCAAACTGTGGCTGAAAGTATTATTGCCAGCATGAAAATATATTTATGTGTGTGCAGGTCGGGAGAGATCCCATTTCATATTAATTTTGTTTTGTTTTCTGAGTTATATGTTTTCCTTTGCATTATAATATAGCCATATTTATTCTTCCAAGCTACAGTTTTATATCATGCTATTAAATGTCGGGGGGGGGAGAAGTCGCGGCGCGCAATGAACTGGAAGTTGATCTGTCAGCACTATCCTCATCTTCATGTTGTTTTTATTTTATTTGGCTTATAATTCCTTACTAAATGTAGTATTTCATCTCGATGAACTCCGATATGATTTAAATCAATTTCCTTGTCTTTATAAATATCACGAATACACATCAAATAGTTTTCTGGTTGCAATTTTCTGATTTCGACTGTGTGTAATGTATGCTTTACACATGCACGCGTTGAAAGAAATGTTTAATAAAGTAAACAAATAAATATTAAGTTTTTTTTTTTTTTGTTTTTGTTTTTGTAAATTTTGATACCCTTTAGATCATAATTGCTCTTTATTTCATAAATTATAGTTTCATATTTTTAATTTTATAATTTCTGCATGCCATCTTACCAGATTTAAACTGAAGATCTATAATCCGGAATCAAAGTCCCGACAAGTTCGGATTAAAGACTTTTGACTGTATAAAAATTTGAAGTTTTGTAGTTCACATTTTTTGAGAAATCTCTGATTTCATACATATAAAAATAATTTTCGATAATGCAATATGGTTAATGTATAGAATTGCATAGTTTATGTCCAGTCATTTTTCTGCTTTTTTATCAAGATTAAAGTTTGTTTCTTGTAAATGGGTCTTTGCTTTCAGTTAAAATTTTCTTTTAAGTTCTCTTGCTTAATTACATGTAATAGTCTACCTCTGCAATTTCTTCTTTCAAAGTGGAATTTTTACTTTCTTGTATGATGTAAAGGAAGTATTGTAATTGCAAAAAATTTCATTTAAACCGAAATATCAGTTTTGACCATTCCATAATCCATTTTGACTACTTTTTTCTGTTATGTCTGTGCATATGGATAGAATAAAGGATTCTTTGTTCCAAAAATTTAAGATGGATTCAAAATAGACTTTTTATGATGTCTGTGCATATCTGTACATGTGTATCTCGCATAACAACCAAAAAAATAATAATAATTAGCCATAAAACATTGAAATTTTGCAAATGGGGCTGCTATAACGTCTAGTTTTGCACTTTTTTACTGCATTCGGAAGTACGAAAGTATCTATCTCTCTGTCTACCTGTCGGTCGGATGGGACCAATAATGTCAAATTTAAAAACAAATTAACAGATAACAAAATCTAACTTTTAGTGTGGTCTTCCAGTTTCTATACTTATATTTGGGAAAGGTTTGTACCCGTTATGAAAAAATAAAAATACAAGTAGTTTGACTCCTGTATGACAAAAATTGCTCAGGGTATTTAATTTCAAAATTTACAATCTTTGATATCAATTTCAATTTGCCATGAGGGATCAGTAAATTAAGTTAGAACAATTAAAGAAAATACATTTATATCAAGTGCAGCTGAAAATGTGTATAATTTAATAGATCACACATGACAAAATCTAACTTTTAATGTGGTCTTCCTGCTCCTATACTTATATTTGGGAAACTTTTATACTCATTATGAAAAAATAAAAATACATGTTGTTTCCCGAACAGCAACCCGACATGAATGTGACATTGCAAACGTGTCACACTGTGATGATCTCAGTGTCGCATTGACTTTGTAGGTATGGCTGAATGTTCGCTTTTAGTGACATCACATTGCGACATTGATGTGAATTCCCATTGGGTCATTGATGTAAAGCCACATTTTGACGTTGTTGTGAAGTCATACACAGGCAGTGTGACGTTTATGCATAGACACACTGCAACATATTTATAAAGTTAATCTGATATTATTGTGAAATCACACTGCGATATTCATGTAATGCCACATTGGAACTTTAATATAGCGCCATAGAGTGAAATGAATATAACATAATAAAGTGCCATGAATGTGACATCACTTAAGATGCAAATAGATGTCATGTAACACAGGATTTCTTCGTAAATTATTAGTGTGATGCACTTCTCTTTTAGTGAACAGGTAATTACAACATCTTAGTGATCCAGTAAGGAATTATACACTTCAGGATATTAAAATATTACTGTAATATTTGAAATTTGGTAAATTATTGAAAATATTCAATATATTTGAAATTTTCCCATTGTACTAAGTTTCCCATTGTACTAATATATTTGAAATTTTCCCATTGTAATTGTCTCTCCTTATTAAACTTATATAATTATCATCCATTTATGTTTATTAAATATCTGTATGAATCATAGTGTACAGAAAATGCAGAACATAGTGTGTATGATGCAAAAGGGATCATATGGTCATTTTCTAAGCATATTCTATTAGAAATATTTTTGAGTATTACCTGTCCAGAAGCTGCATAATTTTGCTTTCATTCTTTAGAGTGTAATATTTAACAACGCTTCATATTTTTTAAAATTTCCAAATTATATTAAAAATCTGAGTTCTCATTATTGCTTATTAAAAACTTAACTAACTTAACTATATTTCTTAATAACCTTTTTCCCCTTCTTTCAAAATAGAAGTATTAAAAAAAAAGCTTTGGCTTGCAATATTTACAATAACTATATTTTTTAATTTAATACTTCCCCTCCCCATTCTAAACAGAAATATTTTTAAAAAACTATTTGGCTTGAAATATTTTTTTAATTGTTTAGCTTCTAATACTGTTTTCTGTGCTTAATTATTCTGATAATTGAATGAAAGAAAAACTGTTTTAGTATTATATTTATAGAACATTTATCTGTTTGAATATTTTCTTATAAAATGTTTTAAAAGTGTTAACTACAATCTTAGTTTTCAAATTAGCTATTTGTTGCTTATATGTAACACTGAATGAATAGTTGCGGGTACAAAAATCAGTAAATGGAAAACGTAGTTATGAAAACTAGATTACAGAAAATTTATATTTAGTTATATTAGTTATACAAAAATGTGCATTCTTTTTCACCATTATTTCTCCATTGACAAATTACAATTTTATGAGATTTTTAAGCTATAAATTGAAAATATCTCTCTTGCACAGCACAGCTTCAATATATTTAAATAGTTGTATTACCTAAAAATGTATAACTTGTTTCATTTGATGATTAATGTGATTCACTTGTTTTAAATATTTCTTTTTACATAGTTTATCTTGCAAAATCATAGCAAATTTGCATGAATTAATAATTCCAGTTTATAAAACAATTATTGTTAGCAAAGCTGAAGTACGAAAAATCTGTATTACTCATTTCTGAGAATGTACACTATTCTATAACCTTCATAGCAATGCTTAAATACTGTTAGTAGCTCATATAGTAAACTGTATGAAACTCGCTTGTTTATGTAATAGACTTTATAAGTTCCTTTATATAATTAGCACATTAATTTATGTAATTAACAATGACCTTCAATGATAGCAGTAATAATCAATACAGTGCAAAGTGTTTAATCCAGACTTGTCGGAACTTCGGCGATTCGGAATTAGGGTTTTTTTTCCGGATTATAGATCAACAATTTAAATCTGGTAAGATGGCATGCAGAAATTATAAAATTTAAAATATGAAACCGTAATTTGGGAAATAAAGAGCAATTATGATCTAAAGGGTATCAAAATTTTCAAGTCCTGTAATTGCTGTGCCGAGAATACCGACTAACTTAACAATCGAAATTTTTTCATTCTCACTAACCTCTCTGTCACTTTCTTCATGTTTTTATCCATTTTTTGCAGCAATTCCACTTTTTGTTTGATGGACATCGAAACATGCTTTTGCTTTGTAGATCCTTTGGCAGCTCCAGAATCGGAAACTCTTTTTGATATAATGAAAGTTCAAGCTTACTTTTTATAAAATTACTCTAACAGTCTGCAAAAAATAATAAGCCGGATCCAGTTAAAAGATTAAGGAACAACACAATCTGCAACATTAACTGAAATAGATAATTAGGTAATTTTAGCCTAGCTTATACCATCCATTATACATTAAACGTGCATGCCTAAACGTATTATGCGCATGCGTAAATGCTACGCATGCGCAGAGTTTGTAGCTTTGAGGTCCGGATTATAGATCATTCTGGATTATGGACATCCGGATTAAAGACTTTTACGCATGCGCAGAGTTTGTAGCTTTGAGGTCCGGATTATAGATCATTCTGGATTATGGACATCCGGATTAAAGACTTTGTATTGTATATAATAATTGAAATGAAAGTTGTTATTAGGAATGAAGTGATTAGCTTCAAGAAAAAGACCAGAGATTCGTGAACTTTATAGAAACACGAGAAACATCAATGAAGATTCTTTGCTATCCACAAATTTCTGCAAACATAGAATGAAATCAGAACCTTGCTTCAACTCGAATATTTGGAATTATTTTAATATGATTTTACAAAGCAATGATGAGGATTCAGAAAATATGTTTTGAGGTAGTATGAGGTACACATATTCTTTCTATTCTTGTCTTTTAAGAAAAGCATGGTTCAGCTTGGTTATTTGATTTAATTAATATGAAAATATTATATTTTACAATGCATACTTTCAAAAAGTTGTTAATCTAAATGAATCTGCAAAAACAGAGCTGTAATATTACTTAGATTTATCATTCAGATACATGTGATGCAAAGCAAAACAAATGTAAGCCTTTTTGTACTCTTAATAATGCAGTTTAAATTGGAGATTTTTCAAATTTTCTTTTGTGCATCTTACGAATTAAAATTTATGGAATTTTTAACTTTAATATTTAATAAACTTTAATAAAATTTAAAATTTATTGCATAAAGTTAAAAAATTATTAATAATTTTACTAAAATATATAGTATGTTTGCACTTATCCATTTATACAACTGAATTATTTTTCAAATAATAGTTACTATTTTTATAATTTTGTTTGGTTTAAGAACAGCTTTTTTATTTTTATGTATAAAATTAATAAGATTTTGTGTACATATATGCACACATTATTAATATATCCTTTTCTATGTTTACATTATTTTCAAATGAAATTATAAGTGTTAAAACAAAAGAAAAATGTGCAATCTTTATCCGTTAGTTCATTATTTTATAATTTAAAATATTATGTGGTTATACCAGATATCAAAGAAAGAAAAATTACGAGTACATGCAGAATCCGTATTTAATTACTTGTCCATCATTAATTTTCTATGAATATATTTTTTACTTTAATAAAAGGCCAATTATACTTTAAACTAATTATGTCAAAGCTAAACTTTGACTGAGGTTTATATATATTTCAAAGCTGGAAATGATGCATCTCCAGCACTTTATATAAATGCAAATTGTTCAGTGTTTTAAGCACTTTTTTATATAATTAATGAGCAATTTTATAACTTGTAAATTTCTTAAATTTTTTTTTTTTTTTTTTTTTTTTTTTCTGTTTTTCAAGTGCAGTACAATTATGATAATCTGCATACATTGAGACAAGTGATCTGCAGAATAGTGAATTTCATGAATTATTGAACATATCTTTTTAAGTTTTATTTATGTTTTTCACTTTCTAATTTTACATTAAATCTGGATTGCTTCTGTTAAAATACCTACTAAGACATGCTCATATCTTAAGTATAATTATTTAATAAAAATTTATTGCATATAAAATTATTATATTTTTAAACATAATTGCATGCAAGGGAAAAACCTATTAGAGGAGGTTTGGCCAAACTTCGTTCAGTAAGAGCCGCACGTTTGAATTCAGGAATGTTCAAGAGCCGCATCTAGATTTTCTAAAAGCCACAAGTTCATATTTACATCATTATAAAAGTAGTGAAGGAGGTTTCAAATAGAAGGAAACCCCTGATAACTTTGTAAAAAGAGTGTAAACTAATTAATTACTTCCTTTTGGACTCTGAATAGTTTTAGTTTACCATATTTCATACATATATTTTATATGCATAATGAGCCGCACAAATTGCCTACGAGAGCCGTATCAGGCTCGTGAGCCACACTTTGGCCCCCCTGTATTAGAATGATAAAATAAGGTATTTTATAGGAGAATAAAAACTCTAGAAAAAAATTTTCAGAAATTTCTATACTCTTAAATAAGAGAAGAATATATTATTAATAAATAAACTAAAATTCTTATAATTATTAGTTTTTGTAATTCTTTGTTGCTTTTAAAATTTGTAGATTTCCTTGTACCTCAAGATTCTGCAAATAACAATGTCATCAACTCAACAACTGGATCTGTTGCGTCAAACTTGACTGAAGTGAAAAGTTCTTCAAATCCATATATTCCTATTAGTGAATGCCATACTGGTAAGCCTGTTTTGAATGGGTCTTTGCCAAATGTTGATGCATGCGGAGATTTGCCAAAAGAACCTCCTCCTCCACCACCACCAACTAAAATTGACTGGAATCCTATAGATCATCCTATTATTCCAGATGAATTTTATGATTATCCAAAGCCACTTAACCAAGGAAAGATAGATATGCAGCATATGCCATTAAATGTTGTCTCGGATGATACCTACAAAGTTCCACTGAATTTGAAATCTGATTTTGAGAATAATCATAATAGTGACTTATTCAAAACTTTGCCACCAAAAGTGAACTGGAATTCTTATCCAGATGAAAATGTTTCTCAAAATAGTAGTACGATACCAAGGCGAAAATCCAATGTCAAATGTGAATTGGCAGAATATGATGTAGTTCCTTCCTTCCATGGATCAATTAAAGAAATAAAATTGCAACCAAGAAAAGTGCAAACTTTGGCAAATCATTTTGAGAGTATGTCTTTGAATTCAGTTGCTGATACTCATGCAAGTTCTCAGAAAAGTAATTCTAATCAAGTTAGTGAAATTAGTGACATACCTCCAAGACCTCCTAAACCATCTAAACTTAGGGAAAGACATCGATATGAGAATTTTGAGCTTCCTCACCAAATCCATAGGGAAGAGGATAAAAGTGCCTATGATGTGCCTCCTGCTTCCAAAGAGGTTACATGTATTAAGCAAAACTCTCAACCACTAAATCTGTTGAAAAATGAGAGCGGAGATGACTTATCACCATCTACCAAAGTACCTTTATCATCTTCTGCTTCTAAAGAATCATATATGGATGATACTTACGATTTTCCTAAGTTTCGTAATGAAGAAAGCAATATCAATACTGCTGTACCACCTCCACAAAATACCGGGACTTCACAAAGGCCAAGGCGTCATGCTTATACAAATGCACCCCCGGGCCTTTTTAATAGTAAAGACCTTATATTTAATTATGAATATCGACCAAGCCTTATGACAGATGGTTACTTGAGTGGTGATACTGTGAAAAATATGCATACTGGCAGTGATGCAGTCACACCACCCAGTCCATCAGCTATTGGTGCATATGCCAATGTTCCTACTAGTCCAACATTAGCTACAAATTTTCAGAATGATTTGCCACCAGCCGTCAACAGAGAGCTTAAACCAAAAAAAGTTTTAAGTAATGAAGACAGAGGTAAAAAGTTTCTAGTAAATTTTGTATGGTTTTTTTTTATTTAATTGCTAAACATTCTTATTTTTTTAAATGGAACTTTTTTATGATTTAATATAGAAAATCTTTTTGTTTGTGTATGTGTATATAGTTATTTCGTTTTAAGAAGAAATGACTTTTTTTAATTTTTTTATATAAAATAAACATTTTCTGTTGTTGCAAATGAAATTAAAATGTATTAAATAATTACTGAAGTTAAAAGTCAAAGAAAAAGTATCACATTAGGTCAGAAATCGTGATTTTGTGACATCATAAGCTTTCGTGACTTCTGTTATCATCACACAGTCTCTGAGGGTTCTGTAGATAATGGATTGTAATTCGATTTTTGGCTATTATGTTTCATATATTAATTTTGAAAAAAATCTTAAAACTAGATTACTAATTTTCCATTGTTTGAATCTCCATTTCTTCTTTTAATTAGTTCTCAGTTAATTTGTTATTTGTAGTTAATTTATACATATCTATTGTTAGGTGCCTTCTCATGTTTGGATTATTAACATTATTAATTCTTTCAAGTTAGTGGTTTATTTATTTTTTTCGTTGTTCCTTGCATCTTCAATTGTTAATGCAGGGTTTCTCAACTATGGGAAATTCCTCCCTAGGAAGAATTTCATAGTTTCAAGGGGGTATGCAGCCAATGTTTTATTTAGTTGTTCAGTATTTAATTTAGAAATATAAGTTTTGTAATATATCAATATTTTGCATATTTTTGTTGTTTAATTTATAAAAAATAGTTTAAAAATAATCAAAATGTAAATAAATGTATGTATATATTTCAAGTTTTGGAAAAGAGAGAGGATGGGAATAATCTTCTAGCAGTGGTGAAATATGTGTATGGAGCAAAATAGATTGAGACCTACCATGTTAATGCTTTTCACTCAGTATTATTTTCTGGTTGTTGAACTTACATTACTTCATCAGATTCTGATTGCTAATTATTTTAAAGCAGTTTTGACCCTTGCAAGATGTTCAGTAACATGAAGAGCACAATTTGCATGTGCTTCATAGAATTATTTCAAATTTGCATCGACCAAATTAATGGAATTTATGTTAGATTTTAAAATTTAAATCTTCTGTCTCAAATTCTTTTATTAAGTGTATTAGCATAGAATTGAATTTGGACTGATTTGGCAGCATTCATTAAAAATATTCAGTCAGCCATTGTTGTTGATATTACATTTACTGAGTGATCACAGTTGCAAGATATTTTTAAGGTTCGTTACTTAGTTTTCACCAACGTACAATTCAATTTTTCATAGATTATATCAGTACTTTTCTGTTAATGGGACATCAGTCACCAAGTATGCACTGAACCTGGAAATGTGGTTGCCTTTTCATATCGCATTATAAAATGCTGTACAATGTTTAATGTGCTGGATGCCAAATTTGTGCAATTCACTGATATTTTTGCTTAAAAGCACATCAGAGAATTGCATTAATTCAACATCACACACAGCTTTGTCATATTATATTATAATATGCATATAAAACATTGTATAGGTTATATTATATAATACATTACTGAGCTCCTTTTTTGTGTGCATATGTGCACATGAAGCTTAAGATATTAGGATTGCCACCATCTTGTTAGATTTCATGCCAACATTTTATATTTGCCACTGAATGGCACCCTGTTAATATTATTTGCATTAAAAATAAAAAATAAATGTTCTTGAAATAAGTTTGAGAAACTTCTAGACTATTCATTTTCTCATGTTATAGGAAATCCACTTACGTACTTTTCCTGTCAGCCATAAACATTGGCAGAGATACTGCAAACTTGCAGCAATCATTTGGGCTGAAATTCCTTTATATAGTTAGATAACCAGCAGATATTAGTTATGGATATAGCATATAAAAAAATTTAAAGCACTTATCATAGTTTTTCACTTTGCATCATCTTTGCCTATAAATTTTCAAATATATTTTCCATATCCTATATTATTAACATATTTTTTTATGTCTGCCCTACCAGTAGCCAAGGAGTGCTGAATATTGTTATTTCACCTGGGCTTTGAATTCAGGCAAACAGTTTGGCTGCATGATTTTTTTTCACCCGTGTATAATGTGAATGCAAGCCAGTTTCTCTTGTTTTTCTCTGCCAGAGAGTTCTCCACAAAGGCATCCCTTTCCTTAGGCATATAGCCCTCGTGTGCTTTGCTATGTACAAATAACCTAACCTAACCTTTTTGATTCCAAGATCTTGTAGCTGTAAAAATATTCAAATTCAGTTAGGTTAGGACATAGAAGGCAAGTAACAGATTTTAATCATTTTTTTCAACATGTGAAAAAATGTGTGAGGAATAGCAGTTAACTGATGCTGTTCTTTATTAAAACTAAGCTGACTAAGTGAGGTTTAATCAGGGTTACATGAAACCAAGGTGAAGCTCTTGTGAGTGTATTGTACTGTTGCCAAAAATTTATACATTTCATTTTAGAATTTTGTCATATTGATTCCAACTTATTTATACAGAATTTTTTAAATGTTAAATTCATATTTTTTTAAAGTAAGGCACTCTTTATTATTTTTATTACCATAATCTTACTAAATTAAAGTACGTAGGCAAATATATACTATTAAATCGAAAAGTATTTCTGGAAGTAACAAGAAATGCTGGCTTTTAAAAATCATGTGCAATTTTTTGTCTTTTAAGTAATTGGTGTCCTATTGTGAAGAGAAAATCATAACTATATATATATAATATATATATAAGAGGGGTATTATTTCTGAAAGTATAATTTGTATCAATTTTAAAATATGTGAAGCTCGAATAGATTTTCTTGTACACTTATAATGGCAGGAATTCTATAATAAGCATACAGTAGAACTTCATTATTTAAACCTTAGTGAGCTAAAAATTTCAGAAGTCCAATTTAAGGTTTTTTACCAACTAGATGCATTACAAATTAATGTTAATTTAAGTACTGAACTTTTTTTTTTTTTTTTTTTTTTTTTGAATGGCAATGCCATTATTTTTCTCAGTTCTTTCCCTCTTATAAGTTGTAGCAAAATTATAAATAAATCTGATGGTCCCCTAGTATTGATTTCTTAGAAAACTGTTTAATAATTGTAGGGTCACCTGATCAGCATCATGAACAACTGTTACTGCTTTTGTGAATATTTGAAAGCAGACTGTAAAAGAAATTGTAATTTGTTTTATAAACCAAATTTGTAATTTTACTTTGAATTGAAAAAATTGAAAATGCTTTCATGTAATTATTTCTTCCATTAAAAAAAAAAAGAAAAAGAAAAGAAAAGAAAGAAAGAAAAGAAAAATGTAGTGAAATCATTTAATTTTTATTATGTTTTTCACGTGAATGTATATTGTATAATTCTGTAACCATTATAATTTCATACTGTTGCCATTTTGTATAGTATTCTAATGTACATATACTCTGAAAAAGAATTTTATGATTTTTATTATGTTTTATCATTTCTATACCTACTTTCGTAATCTGAATTATACAGAACACATTTTGCATAGAAAGTTAGTTTTGGCAAATGCAGTTTTGCTGTACCCATAGTGTGCTAATGGTGTAACCTCTGTGTTAGGCAAGGATTAACTGAATAACTAAGGAATATCAAAGTAGATTTGCAAGATAACTTCTTCACATGTACCAAAAGAAAAAAAAATATGCAATTTCATGTATTTTAATTAATTTCACTATTTTCAGGTTCATTTAGCTTCTTAACACTTCAGCCACCTCCTGTTTGTCGATCCAGAACAAAAGCTAATAAAAGAAGCTTTAGAAAACCCAGGTGTGTATTTTTATTTTTAATGTTATTTTGTTTTTGTGAAAGATATTCTGTAATAAGTTGCTGATAATTTGTAAGGTAAATATTTATCCATGAGCAGTTTTTGATAGTTTCAGTTAAGTATTAAACCACTGAAAGTAATTTCATTAAAAAAAGTGCGAAGTTGTTAAGGATCTGTTCCTGATTTTAGTTTACTTGAACTCTTCATGTTTTATGTATTAAAATGCTTCTGTTCTCGAAGTCTTTAAAATATGTCTAATAGATCATAAGTTTTGTATTATCATATTAGAAGGGCTGTAGTTGTATCTTCTGTTGCTATAAGTTTTTAACTGTGGTTATTTTATGTTAGAGCTGCTCCCAATCCAACTCCAGGAGGCAGTTTAAATGGGATGCCACCTGTACCAAACAGATTTCGACATCATCCTGAAATGTCAGCCACATCTGATGATGAAATGTCTAATTCGAGTGGAAGTCGTAGAAATTCATCTAATGATGATCAAGTAAGTGCTTTTTCTTTTGCTGTTATTGTCACTTATCTCACTTGTCTGAGAGTAATATTAAATCAAATGCACAAATTTTATCTTGGTGATGAATGCAGGATTACACCTGTCTTTGGCAACCTTTATAAGGGACAATAGAGTTTTGTCCAGTTCCATCCCAGTTTTGAAGGAGAATCCTTTAGGGGAGGAGTCCAAAGGTCTCCCAGTCTCTTTCTCTGTCCTCTAATTACAGAAAAGGACTTTTGGCTCACCATGTATTTTAAGTGTCCCCATGTCACAAAGACACTACACACTTACAAAAATCCAAACTTTCTCTGGAATTCAAACCAGGACTCAATGTTATGGTAGCCAGCAACAATAACCATTATACTGAGCAAGGCAGTTCACCTCCTCCTTGTAATGTTGACTTCTGTCATATCATTTGAAGAAGTAAATGTAATTAATATATTCGAAGGACTAAGATTATGCAAAAATTTGTTATGATTATCTTCTGTTTGGTATGTATAGTCCCGTGGGCAACATCGTAAATAATCATGATTGAGATCAGAAGTATCTGTCATTGACCTGAATTCTTTGGCGACAGAGTGATTTTGCATAGCTTCCATCCCAGCTTTGATCAAGAATTCTGAAATCTGAGGACCTTTTTTTTTTTTTTTTTTTTTTTTTTTTTTTTTTAAAGCATCAATCTTTGGAGACGTTGATGTTAAAAAATATTTAGGACTTTAAATGATCAGGACTTTCTGCTAAAATGATTTTATACATTTACAATACTATATTTTCTGTGATTTCAGCACAAATCTCAATAATATGTCAACCAGCAACATATATACAGGACTGCATATGAAAAATATATATTCAAGAGAGTGCTTGTGAATTACCTTTAAAAAAAGAACTGTTTAGAGATTTTAATTATTTGTTTGAATAATAGAAACACAATGAAATCATAAGAATAAAAAATAAAAAATAAAAAAATAAAAATAAAGGAAAAGGAAAAAAAAGAAAAGGAAAAGAAAAAAGTATTCTGCAAAAAAATATTAATTCTTTTTCAAAATCTCTCTTCTTGGTGGATGTGCAGAGTTTCAATTCAGTGTATTTTTTAGAGAAAGCACTTTGTAAAATGTGTATCTCATTTTTAGAAATGTGTTTTTAGAGATTTTTAGAATTGTGTTTTACAAGTTTGGGAAGAAAGTAGTACATACTGTATTTACTCTTGTCTCCCCCCTCTCGCATTTTAGCACAAAGTAGGGAAAATTTTTTAATATTCCATATATTCCTCAAAGGTGAGAAGGTGAGTGGTCATAATTTTAAAATAGATTCATCCACATACTGGTTATTTTCACCTTACTGATTGATTTGATCGTGAAATTTGGATACGTGGGATGTAATTGATGAAGCAGTAAAAATAAAGAACCTGAATATATAAAAATAAAGAATTTGAATATTTAATGTTGTTGATGGTTCTGAAAAGCAATGCACATGGCAAAACAGACTGAATAGTGAAGACAGTGGCAGCAACTTGTAAACTGTAACAGACAACACAGCAGTTCCAGCAGCATTGAATGATTTATCATCTAGAGCAGCGATGGCAAACCATTATGAGAAGCAGGTCAAATTTTGTTCATTATCTTTTTAAATATTAACGTGTGGGCCACTAAGTCAGTGACACCACTTGGAAGGAGGTGTAAAAAGAGTATCAATAACTTGGAAAAACTGAAAGTTTGTTAACAGAAAAATTTAGCAGCAGTACACTTTCTTTTCCTCCTACCTACCACTTCTGAACTGAATACTTGAATGAACAAGGAATAAAAAAATTCACATATACATTATGAAATATTCTTCATTAATAAACATTCATAATATTTGCAGATATATACTTGTGTAATAAAGTTGATAAAAGTTTATTCAATCAGAAATCTGTTATTGTTTATTTTCAAGTAGTTTCTTAATATTACGTTCATATTCCATATTCATTAGTTTAACGCATTTTGCAATCAATTCATTTCCAAATTTATGTTTTTAGATTTTAGAAAATTCATCAAGGAAAACAATTTTTCACATGAATATGTAGACCCAAACTTCATTAAAAGAGCATTTGCAAGTTTCTTCATTAAAATAAAATTGCTTGGTAAAGAATCTCATAGGTTTAAAAATTTGGTTAACAGCAGTTTCAAATTTCATTTTGTATGGATATAAAAGGAAATGTATTTTCCAAACTTTTAATTTGATTAAATCTCTCTTGAAAAACCTTGTTTTATTTCCTGTATAATGACTAACTATTTTTTAATTGCATTTTGTAAGTTAAGCTTATTTTCAAAATTATTATGTTTTGAAAACGTCTTTGTAACTGACGAAAATATTTCATGATTTTCATTTCCAAATTTTTAGTGAAAATGTCAAGATTTGTCATAAATATTTTAACATTTTCAAACATCAATAATGACAGAATTTGTCCATTTCCCTGAAGCTTTTTATTCAGTTCATTGAAGTGATGTCACATAACTACATTAAATCATTTAAGCAACTCATATTTGAAAATTTGTCATGACTATTATTCTTTTGATCATATATATATATAGCTTTATTTCTTCTAATAAACTGAAAAATTCATTTAGAACTTGACTACAACTTAGCCATTGAACATTGTTGCATGTGAAACCCCCAGAATATTGACATGTAGTTTCTTCTAATAACTATCTGAGTTTTCTTCATTAAGATCTCTTGCATTTATAAAATTTGAGTATTTTATTACAACTGACATTACACTGGAAACTGGTTTTTAAACCTTGCTTTGAGCATGAAACTTCCTGGTGTATTTACAATGAAATTCAATCAAATAATGTCCAATATTTTGCTTAAGCTGCTGAATAAAATCAATGTTTTTTCCACCATATTGGATGCATCATCTGCTGTTATAGAAACCATGATTTGTAGATCAATATTGAACTTTTTAAATGCATGACCAAATTCTTTAAAAATATCAAGATGGATACACTTCCCTTTCAATGTTATTGTTCCTATTAACTCTTTCAGTGTGTTACCTGATTTATATCGAGCAAAAACTGCTAGTTGTGCATAACCATTTACATTTATTACTTTACTCTCATCTAATGCAGCTGAATATAGTATTTTTGCATTCTTTAAATCGTTATGTAGTGTATTTGTGAAGAAATATTTCTTTCTAATTCTATTACTCAATCTTTATTTATTCTTCTGAAAGAGGTTTTCCACGGCGAGCAGTACAGTGGGCTACTTGAAAACTAGCAGCTATAATGTCAGATCTTGGAAACAAAATTACAAAATCTATAGGGTTTTATTCTGTGGGATATTATATCTATGGGGTTTTACTCCCCCCCCCCCATCTAAACTTCATTTAAAAACAAAAGTTATAAACTTTTTATCTAGATGTTTAAAACAAACTACAAAAACAATTTTTTTAATCAAAGAAATTGATTTTGTTCCTTAAATTATGAATTTTTTTTAATTCAATGCAAAAGCAAACATTTCAACAAAAACTGAGAGTACTTTAGAATATTGAATTTCATCGCTTGCTTTGTATAGAGAAAGAATAATATGAAACATTCAGATGACATTTTTATTAGTTAATATGCACAAAATTTGTACTTTAAAAAGAATATATTAGCCATCTACTTCAATAAAATGCCAAAATAAAGCATCTATCCTTAAAGAGTTCTTTTTAAAAAATTTTTAATACATTAGCAAAGTTGTTTTAACTTTGTAAAATTTATTTTAAAAACACGAGAAAAAGTTCTGTTTTTATGCTTTATTAAGTCATTTTAATATTTATCGTAATGATATCAGATTTTAATAAGAGAATGCAGGCTTATTAACAATGAGATTTATAATATTGTTAAAAATCAATTTCTAAATATGTACTGTAAATTGATTTAAAAAACTATTGTAAAATACAAATTTAAAGAAAAGAATTTTTTTCATACAATCCTGTTAAAATTTAATAGATGAAACTATGAAAGGTAGATGTTAAATATATATTAATATCATAAAATGTGATGTTGATGCAAAACAAATGATTTTCTCAATTCTGAGCAAACACCATTTACTTGGCATTAGAACACACTCCATTCAAAAGATATTTTATCAAAAATATGTGAAGATAGTTTTTTATTAAAAAGATGTGTTAAAAATCCATACATTAAATGTTTATCAAAAAAATATAGTTTGGTCTATGTATAATGTTGTTACATGATTCTAACTTTGAGTAAAGGTTTTAAACAACCTTTAAAGCTTTTCATTAAATTCACATCACAAAGTTTTAAAACTGCCAATATAGTAAAAATGAAAATCGTCATCATTAAAAGTTTATCAGATGAGTAATTAATGTTAACAGTGCTAATACTGAAAACACAGTCCTTGATTTAATGTCAGTATGTTTGATTTATATTTAGTTGAGAAATATCATGGTTTTCTTTATAAAGATGAGAAATATTTTCTAAAACTGTTACAGTTTTAATTTGGGGAAAAACTTTACTCAAAGAGTTTAGAAACAGTGTATACAAAAATAAGAAATCAGGAAACAATTAACCTTACCTTCTCAAAACTTTCCACCATTATCGTTGAAATCTATGCATTTCATTTATGCAAACATTAGATAAACGGCATCAGACATTTTTTCAGGCACCAGTGAATTTACAATTGTAGCATATGACTTGTAATAAATCATCAGAGGTGATATATGATAGAAAATCATTTGGCCAATGTCTACTTGGAAATATTCTTTTATAAATTCGACATTAGATATTTATACTTTAACCTTTTTATGTTTTCAATTGTCTGTCCACATTCTATAATAAAAGAAAAAGTTTATAAATATCAACGCATGGGGCATTTAAAAAGCCTTCGTGGGTCAGTGTCTGTCGACACTATTGGTCTAGGGAGTAGTATTGGACAATGAGAAGAGCAATGTAATGTTAATATTACTATGTATTCTCATTAGGGATGTAGATTTTCTTTTAGATAAATAATAATGTGGTAGTTACATGTAGTATATTCATGAATAGTTTTCATTTGTTAGGTTTTACTGTAATCATGTATTTCATTAGTTAAATTATTCACATTTCCCCCATTCGATTTTCATGTAATAATATTAAAAAAGGGGGAATATTCAAGTACTGTAATTTTGGGTAGATAAGCCACCCTGGCATATATACCACACACTTAAATATGGGTGAAAAAAATTAAAAGGTCATCAGATAAACCACACCACCATATACACCATAAAAAAAGCATTCTGAAACATGGCACTGTTTATTTATACAGTAGTTCCTTTCTATATTGATGTAATCATCATTTATAACATTTTGTAACATTTACAACATAACTATAAAAAGTAATATACAAATATATAATAAATAAACAATCATTTTGCCTTTAACTTGTTAAAAATGAACTCAGCTGATTTTCAGTAGATGTTATTTTTATGGGTAAAACTTTGCTTATCATCATAAATTATCATATTATGAAAAATGAATACATAAATAATCAAACAGAATTAAGATTAATTAAAATTAAGAATTAATTAAGAATTTAGTTGTTTGACTTCTAAATTAATCAAACAGAATTTTATAATTAAACTGCACTTATTTATAAGAAACCTTTAAAATTCTACTCATCAATGTCAGAATTTAATAAACTTAACAAATGACCATCAAGATCACTTTCATTACTCTTTTCTAAATCATTTCTTCCAATGTAGCTATGGTCATTTTCTTTCTCAATGATTTCCAATTTAATGAAAGCTGATATGATCATATCAGCTAATACTGATTGCCATGTTTTATGGACCCACAAGACAAACTCCTCATATGAACCTTTTCTCATCCATCCGGAATTTGTGAAGGAATGCAAGTCTGTTTTGCATCTATTCCTCCTACTGCTTTCATAGATTGTGATTGAAAATTCTATTGATGGTGAGATCCAGTGGCTGTAACATTTTTGTAAGTCCACCTGGTATCACTGAGACATTAAGTTTACCCCTTCAGATTTTATACTATCATCATACATCCTTTATCGTGGGCACAGATCATAACCCTTTTAGTAAAGTTTCCTTTCAGAATTGTTTTTCTTTTGAAAATTATCAAAGGGGTATTTTGACTCCATTGACGACACAACCCAAAATACAAGTAAAAAAGTCTTTTGCATTTAGGGTTGATCACACAGAAATATTTTTTTCACTTGTTGAATGAACAGCTCTGCCCAGAGAGCAGTCAAAAGTAATGGGTGCTTCATTCATTTTAGTTATTTACCCTCTATTCAAATTTTGTTATTTAATTTGTGTAGGTGTATAATCTTGAAATGTTATCTTTATATTTAAGCCAGTCCAAGGGAAGCTTCCATCCAACTGTTGTTTTGGTCCTGACCGATAATTTCTTTTGTTTCATAAATCTTAAACACCAATGAAATCCACCAATAAAGTCATTAATGCTCATTTGCTGAGCAATTACTTTTGCCTAAAGGCAAATAAACACTGATAATCCCTTTGTTCTGCTTTGTAGTCCATTTCTCTAAATTCCCTTCCAAAACAGGCTACAGTGCCAGTCTGACAGATCTTTTATTCATAGGCATTTTCTCTAATTTGTATTCAGATTTCCACTGCGAAATGCATTTTCTTGTCAACTTGAAATTCTCTAGCCACAACATAATTTCCAATTTCTATTGCATTCTTCGCATAGGAGCCATAATTATAATAATTTTAAAATTCATCAAGTGCAAACGATAAAATAAACACTGCTACAAGTAAGCAATAAGCAAATCACAAAGCAGTGAGACACATGTAAGAACTTGGCATGGAACTTGGTGAAGCAAAAGTTTCTGTGGCCTGTTAAACAAAAAAAAAAAAAAAAAAAAAAAAAAAATGATGTTCATTGGAAAGATAAAATCGCAGATAAAATCATAGAATCAGAATCACAGAATCAGAATCATAAAATCAAAAATAAAATCACAGAGTTCAGCAGAAAGTACCTGCATTGCAGTGCCTTTACACTGAGCACTATCTACCACATTTAGGTGAATTTCATACTAGTTCAAATATGTTGCCCTGCCTTAGTGGATTCTGAGCATTCATATGGGATTAAAATGCTGCATTAACCATTTCACTTGTGCATAACTTTTGATATAAACCAGAGATTTTAAAGATAGAGGAACAATGAAATTCCTTCAGATACTTTGTGGACCTAAATTTTCAACTTTTAAACGTGCTTAAGCCATGACCTTTCTACCTGAAATTACGGTAAATGTGATATTAGAATCAGAAATATACTGCTAGTATCCTGTATAAGTTACATGAATATTTTCAACTCATTTTTTTCCCCCTCTATATTTTAGACTAGACATCTCTTTCCAGTGCCTTCCAAAAAAGAAATTCAGTATTTGGATCTTGATCTGGATTCAGAACCATCACCAAGTCCCAAATCTCCCGAAAGAGTGTCTGAATCTACAGTCTATAAGAAAGTGGATTTTGTAAAAACAAAAGCTTTTAATGAAATGAGACAAAATGTTGAGGAATCTTACAGAAAATCTCAATGAAGCTTTTGAAGAAAATATTTATAATTGTTTATAAGTTTGATGGAATATCATGCTCAAGTGCATGATTTGAAGGTGTTAAAGATCTTCGCACACAAAGACGTTTAAATTTTGCTAGTCTGCATTTCATTGCTGAAAAGTTTCTTAATGTTTATATCATTGCTATATTTTGTACATATAGAGCTTGTGAATAGAAGTATATATTGATTTTGAAGGTACTTTGATACCTGATGAATTGTAACAGTGCTTTAAATAGTGGCCTTGTAACAATTGATTTTTTTTTCTTTTAAATCTAGCATTTATTTTTCAATTTTTTATTTTTTATTTTCTGTGTTTTAGAGGAATATAATTATGCTAAATGAAATTTGTCTCATATTTATTATTACATTCATACTTTCTTGTTTGTATTTGATTATTTTGCAAACATGCCTTACTGAAATCGTGTTTGAAAAATTAGCATTCCTCCCCCTTACCTTTCAGTTTAAAATACGTTTGGAAAATTGTTCCATTACCTGCTTTCAGTTCTTTTAAACTGCATTTGCCTTAAAGAAGCCTTAATTGAAAATGCTCACTATTCTTTAAATATTATATTAAAGCTACTATAACTGTGTGATATCTGAAGAATAAAATATATGTAAATTATATACCATGTCCACACATTCCTGACCCAGCCTTTATTTTTGCAAACATTGGTCATAGACATGCACTTCACAAAAAATGTTTTAAATGCTGCAAAGATTCGTATTTTGGCACTTTAAATTAAAAAGTATTAATTTTATGTACAAAATGAAATCTCACTTTTTGCATATTCTTCTGGTCTATGTACATATATTTAGGAAATTTTTATACTCATTATAAAAAATAAAACACAAAATGTTTGATTCCTATGCTGCAAAAACTGACAGAGATATTTCATATCTGGCATTTTATCTGATGTCTTTTTAAATTTGCATTGAAGGTTCGGTTAATAATAAATTAGAATAGTTGGAGGTTATTTTTTAATTTTGTTGCATTTGGTGTGGCTACAGAACTTTCATACAAGTAATTTATAAGTTTGCAAAACCTAAAATGTGTTAATAATATTTTAATGAAGCTTTATTGCTTAAATAATTGTAATATGGGAATTATAAAAAATTCAGTAAATTATTTTTCATTTTCAGTTAATGCAAATTATATTACAAGTTCGCTTCATGCCAATACTGAAGTTTGCCTGTTTTCTAGAATACGAATTCCTTAAGAATCTATGAAGGAGTTCTCTATTTTGAAAACAGTTATATTGATCAACATTTTTCATAGTTATGCATAGGAATGCTCACCACTCAATCTCATAACATCAGAAATCTTTTTGTAAATAGTATTTTATTTTAAATTACGCATAAGCATGCACATTTTGCTGTTGAATTTGTGTAGGGATATATATATATGATCCCCAATTTTAATGTCAAATATTTTGGTCAGGTTTTGTTATATGAAAGTCAAATTCTTTTGTAATTTATTTTTTATAATAGATGCAAAATTTTACTAAATTATGTATCAGGATCATTGAAACATGTAAAATGTCTGATTTTGTAATTTTTATAAAACTGACTTTTTTTACAGTAAAAAATGCCAAAACATGAACCTTTGCATCATTTAAAGCATTTTTATAATTAGAAGTATACATGTACAACTAAGGCTGAGAAAATAAAGGCTGAATAAGAATTTTTATGGGCAGGGTGTATATTTTAAAATTGCGTTACAGATTATATTGAATGGCTGTTTTTAAAATCTCAGACTAGGCTAGAAAAGGCTAATAATTGATTCAAGTAATATAAATAAGTATGAAAACTGTGGATATGTTTCAAAGGAAGATTATAATCCTTTTCCAATCAATCTGTATTTCTGATGTTCTAATTATATTCCAACTGTAATGTAAATAAGGTTTAAAAACTTAAGCTTTTTGAAAACTAAAACTCTTTCGTAATAGGTGATTACATATATCTTAGAAATGATCTGAATGGAATATATTTTAAATATTCTCATCTTATAATAGGTGCACAATTGCTATTATATTTTATAAACTGTTTGTACTCATAATAAGTTTTTACATTTAAAACTACAAAAGTAAAGTTTCTGTTTATAATATATATAAATTAGCATATTTAGAACTTTCAGCACTGTTTAATTGGATTTTAAGTACATTTATGTTGAATGTCAGTATGTCTCAGTAAAAGTTTACATAGGATTATTTATAAATAGAAATATAGCTCGTATAAATTAAAATTTTTAAAAATTACTTTCTGAAAATAAGGAAAAAAATGGAGGCTATTTGTTAAGCTAAAATAAAATATTATTCCATTATACAGATTAAAAATTAGTAATATAAAATTAACAGTGCAATGAATATACATGATGATGTTTATTCAAAGAATGCAAATAATTCATTCACTTTGAAAAGGCTATATATCCAAAAGTATTTTATGTACACACATGAAAAAATACATGAAAAACCCACCAGGTGCTTTTCACTAGTTTCCCACATAAGTGGAATGTTGCTTCATTGCTGAATATTATCTTGGGGGTAAAATCTTCATCCTCCACTGCTGACACCAAAATCTAGTCGATAGGAGTAATCTTCCGTCTTTAATTGTTGTAGGAGCTATGCATGGTACAGTTTGAAATACAACCATTGCTACAAAATCTTTCACACAGTTCTTTTGTGATATTCCAAACATCTGGTCAATTGATAGGACAGACATCTAAACAACAACGCTGCAAAATGTATGTAATGAGCTTGATTATTGTCTAGACAAGTGTCGTGTCACCAAAGGGGCACATACTGAATACCGTATTTGACGGCATATAAGACGCACCCTTATTTAGAAGGCCACACACAAGGAAAAAAAGTTTCAATAGTCCGTGCGATAGCGCGGTACCACAATAACTTAAAATGTGGTTTCTTTTAGTTCTCACGTTTCCTAAAAGACAAATAAACAATCATTGAATGCAATTACCAAACATATTTTTATTAAGGAAAATTAACAAACGGCAAGCTATTTTGAGAATGATATGTAAATTTCAATAATGAATAAATGAATGAGCGGCAAGCAATCAAACATGATTAAAAAAAAAAAAAAAATGGCAGAAACAACAAAAAACACAGATTTAAGAAAAATGTTGTCTATGATGGAATTAGACTTTAATCACTTTCAAAACCATAAAAATCCTTTTCACTATCATCATCATCAAAAACGAGAATATCGTCATCACTACTGTTTCCGTCATCGCTAGTATCACCTTCTTCGAATAATGCGTCGTCTTCTGTTCCGGCAAGAGCATTACTGATTCCGCACTTCTTAAAGGACTTAACAATTATTTCAGCCTTTACATCCTCCCAAGATCTTTTTACCCACTCGCACACTTGTGAAATAGAGGGCCGCTTCATTCTGCCTGAGTGTGTGAGAGCGTGATGTGGCTCTCCTATCCACTTGTTCCATCGTTCTTGCACATCTTTCATTGTTCATCTTTTTTTTAAACAAATAGTTTTAAGACGTAATGTGACCGAACTTGTTCGAACTTCGACATCAGCGTTGAGCTTTGGCGCTTTTTGGCGAGATATTTCACGCATGCGCAAAATAATTATGGCGGATGTAGAAAAAGTTATGTGTGTCTAGACCTTTATCCGGGCTAAAAATAGCATTCAGTATTGAATGTTAACCTGTGTCTTTCACGTATAAGATGCAGGTAACTTTTTTGAAACCAAATTTAGAAAAAAAAGTGCGTCTTATATGCCGTCAAATACGGTATTTGTAGAGGGTGTTTAAACTTAATGAGTTTGTGGTTCTTTTCATATCTTTCATGTGTGTACGTAAAATACTTTTGAAAATATAGGCTTTTCAAAACGAATGAATCATTTGTGCTAACCATGTATTTTTAATGATCCTCTGAAGTTTAAGAAACATTTTCCTAACAGTAATTTTAGCTTGAAATTAAAGCTTTTATTATTTCATAGTTACATATTTGTGTGTGTGTGTATGTAAAATTACATTTACAGTGCTTTTTATATGTCAGATATATTACAGTGCATATTTATGCTAAATATAGTATATAATTTTTATTTTTAAGAAAAATGTATTTTACAGTAATGTAAAAGTTTTATTGGCTGGTGTTTAATGAATATTATTATCAGTGTAATTATAGTAGTTTTTAAACTATCTATAAGAAATTATATATAATTATTTTTTGGGTGGGAGCAGAATGTGAATGACAATTATGAGAAGGCAGGGAGTGAAAAGAAGCATAATTTTAAAACTTGGCATACCTAAATAAAAGTTCTACAGTATTTAAAGTGTAATAAAGTTTGCCAGTTTTTTAAGTAATTGCTTAGTGTTACCTTCCTCCTTTAAGCTAACATACAAGTTATTCTAAATCATTCATTTAACTAGTAGTTTTGTTATGAAATTAAATGATGGTTAGCATTTGTTTGAAACATTGGATGAACATATAGACATTGGAAAAACAATTTCCAAATTTAAAATTAGTAGAAATTTGTAGCAAAATGAGCAGAAAGGCTAGGAATAAGTAGTAATTAAAGGGAAAAGTAAGAATGCTTTTTTTTAGAGGGGTTAGTTGATTAGTTGAGTCTTTTACTGTTAGTTTTAAGTAATACAGATAGCATCTTTAATATTTTGTAATATAAAAAACTACTCACTTGTAAAATTGATAAATTTAATTTCTTCAATTTATGTTTCCTTTTAATATGTTAATATGTTTAATAATTTATGTTTACTTTTATTTTCAAAGTTTTTTTATTATTATTTATTTTAACTCGTATGTTTATTGCATTACTTTTAATTTAATGAACTGCAGCCTTTAAGTGTTGCTATTTTCACATTTTGAGAGAAATGAAATGTTGTAAAAGTGTGAACAGACAGTAAATAACAAATAAAGAAATATTTTGCTAACTTTTAACTAGTAAATAATGCTAATGGAATTTATACATAATGAGATGAATGTAAATTAAGATTCTGCATTTATCTATTCATTTATTATTTGTGTTCTAAAAATCAGTCATCTGAGAATTCATGATAGAACAGTTTGAAATTCTGTCTGGAAAATTGTGCAATAATATGCATCTTCAAATATTGTTCTATTTTGCATATTTTTGTTTCTTTATCTGCAGTGTTTTAGCAGCTAATTTTCTAATCACAATGTATTTTTACATAAGCAGACTCCTATATATATTATAAAATAGTGAGAGTTCAAAGTTCCTTGTTAGAAATGTTATCTTCTTTTGTAAAATGTTCTCAGTAATATCTTTTTTTTCTGTGACATTAAAGAGGCTGTTAAAAATTTATTTATCTTGTACTGAAATTTGTATGCATTTCATTTTTATGAATAAATATTGTAGTAAGCTTTATTAGTGCCATGAAGAAATGGAAATTATTTTTCTGAGTTACTCATATCCTTTAAATATTGGAACGTTTCCATATTTTGCTATTATGACTAATTAAAAAAAATATTTTCTGACATCTGACTTATTTTAAATTTTATATTTGATAGGCTAAAACTGTAATTCCAATTTTCATTTTCCAATGTTTTTTTAAGATGCTTGAACAATTTATTCTTTAGTTGCAGAGAGCTTTTGTAATTGTAAATTTTTTATTGTTGTTATATATAAAGCTACAAAGCCCATTTTTGTTTTTCCATT